ATCCACTTACCTCAGCCTCCCAAAGGCGCGGGATTATAGGCTGAGCCACTGAGCCCGGCTATATTTATTTTTAATGTATTTCTTTTCTTTTCTTTTTTTTTTTTTTTGAGTTCAGGTCTCACCCAGACTGGAGTGCAGTGGCCACTCCCGGCCATCGCAGCCTCGACCTGCTGAGCTCTGGCGATCCTTCCGCCTCAGCCTTCCCAGTAGCCAGAATTACAGGCATGTGCTACCACGCCCGGCTGAATGTATTTATTTTCAAAGACAGTGTCTTACTCTCTTGCCCAGACTGGAGTGCAGTGGTGTGATCGTAGCTCACTGCAGCCTCAAACTCTTCGGCCAAGCAATAGAGGTTGATGTTTTAAGTGAATAGAATATCCAGGAAGCATTGCTTATTAATATCACATCAAACACAGTAGTTTACAAGACCCTTGGGAGCTAAGGTGGGAGAGGATGAAGCAGTATGAGACCTTGGGCACAATTATGTCAATGCACACAAAACAGCATGGACTAAAGGCTTAAGTACAGGAAGAGTCTGGTGCATTCAAGGAAATCCAGCAGATCAGGCAAGATAAAGACTTATTTTCAGATTAAGGTCTACTCCAGACATTAGTAGCCCACTGCCTGATGGAATCTGGAACCCCTTAAAGGAGGTGTCACTGTGTGTTCATAAAGGGCGGGGTTCTGCTGACTACGCGCTAATTCTGTCTTAGCAAATCACTGCCTCAGGAAGAACATGACAACATGAGCAATGCTGGTGAGTTTCTGAGATGGCAGTCTCCAAGCCTCGAGTTCCTCAAATAAGGCCAACTACTCATCTTCCCGATCATTAATAGGTCTCAGTCATTCGGGACACCTCATGTGACTTTTATGTTATTTGTGCCCTTTGTTTTCCTTCTCTGTGTCCTTCTTCCCCTTCTTCCTGCCTTCTGGCACCAGATCTTTGAGGATAGGACAGGGCGATATTCATAAGACAACTAAAGTAAGAGGGAGGACGTAAAAAGATGAGGCCATCATATGCCTTACTTCCTCCAGGAGAAGGCCGGTATGGAGTTTGGGATTATCCAGTAGTTTCTTTTCTTGCCAGGTCAATATTATTATGGTATGGGATGAGTGCTGAAAGTCTTTCCAGTTTATTAGGAAGTCTGAAGGCAGAGCATGTAAGAATAGAAAACCACGAATAGAGAAACAGTTGGATGGAAGAGGGAAGGATGTGTAGAGCCTTGTTTCTATACCTCAGTAAGATTGTCTTGTCAATGTCAAGCTCTATCATAGTCAAGCCCCTTGTGACCAGCAGTGTGGGTAGCTGTAGAAAACAATCACTTGGGGAAGGAAGACAGATACATCGATGGATGAAAATAATACGGCTTGTTAATTGTAATAATGGAAGATACATGTGATGGTTGGGGGAGGTAGCTATGAATTCTACCATTGTGGTAGATTCTCCCATTCTTGGTTCACTAAGAAGATTCTAGTCATCCACTTGGTTCTTGGTGAATGACTAGTCATCGGTGAAGCCATTGAGGTTGAGAAGATGTTTCAAACAACGAGAGTGTGGGAGCAAAGACCTGGAGGTCTGAAGTGAGAATGCATAGTATGTGGAGGACAGCAGTGGTTCGCTTTCTGGTAAACAGGCGGCAGAGTAGTATGAAGAGGCAGGAGACAAGGCTGGCAGCAACCTGAAAGTCACATCAGGAAAGGCCTTGGATGCTATATGTACTAAGGCATTTGGACTTTATCTTGTAGGACATCAAGGAGGTTTTGAAAGGTTTTAACAATGATAACATCAGCAGATTATGATGGCGGTATGTGGAGGGTGCTTGGAAGGGGAAGAGACTGGAGCTAGAGAGATAATTTAAGAAGAGTTGGTGAAGAAGTCTAGGTGAGAGATGATAGGGGCCCGAAATGGGAGAGCAACTTGATGGATGGAGAAGACAGAGTTCAGAGATACATGCAAAGAGAAGTCACATAGCGTGGTCCTCCATTGCATGTAGCGGGCAGGAAAGGGAGAGAGCAAGAGTGTGGGGGGAAGGGAGGGAGAGACAGAGAAAGGGAGAGCTTGCATGTGTGTG